ACGGAAGAGATGGGCTTAGTATACTTCCTAAAAATGTCTAAAAGATGCTGCTGACCTAGCAGAGGGCCTTGGTCCTGCAGTCAGGTCATTGTGAGTTCTGGTTGCACCTGCATGTGGACTAGTGCACATGGCAAACTCGCCTGCCTGGGAGCATGCTTATGTGGGGTTAAGCTTCTTAATACTTCTGCTTCAACAACTTTTTAGAAAACAAATGTATTTGGTTTTATGGATATGCAAAACTCTATCCAGTGTGAGTTCCTTCAGAGGAGACCAGCTCAGACAGATTGGGTGAGATAATAGTTATGATCTAGTTTCTGACAGCATGCCTGTTTTCTGCTGTCAATCCCTAGTAACAACCTTCTGTGTTCTTCCACTTAAAAATCCAAATCATATATAGACTGGCTCTGAATCTTACCCTTGATGCTGAGGAGCGCAGCTCTGCAGTACATCATGGGGCTCATCTGCATTTGCCACACAACGCAGAGTGGAAGGCCACCTTGTGAAAGGAGGTTCAGTAGCTTTATTACTGCCATAATCATCTTCCCTATGTTCCTTCTTTGGTAATACAGAATTGTTGCTTTCTCTGCGGATGAGCTGGTTTTCACCAGGGGCTGGGGTCAGGGGGAGGTGGGGGGAAGGTGTTAAAATTCAGTCTTTAATATTAATTTCTAATATAAAGATTCAGTTTGAACTAGCAGGTGGCTAATATCCTTTATAGTCGAACAGTGCTCATTTACATGTCATTTTAACTGCTTCTCTGCTAATATGTTTCCTAGTTTTCAATAAAGCCAAAACATTGTGATTTTAATCTTCCATGTTTTAATGTAGGCTTTAATTTCTTATGTAGGCTGACAATTTAATCTCTCAAGGTAGAAGTTAAAGTAGTTGATGCTTCTCTCAAAAGGCGTCTTCAGTCACATGCATTGCTTTCTTGGAAGTTGTAATATGGTCCTCATTGATTGCAGAGGAGGGGGGGAAAGGTATAATTATACCCAGGAGTATTTGGTTACATCACTTTTTTTTCTGGAAGAGGTCTTGATTCAGTAGTGAATTTAGCTATAAATGTTATTAAATGTAGTACATGCTAAAGCTTAAATAAAATGGTATGTAGAAATAAGGCACAACTGGCATTTGTGGGAAATAGTGGCATGCAGCTTTTGAAAATGAGACAACCCATTGTTATATTTTTCAGTAATTTGGCTTCACATAGTGTTTTAGAGGATTCAGTTTTTATTTCTCATCATTATGTTTAACATTCAGGATATTTATTTCATCTGTGTAGATGTTTGTTTTAGCTGGTGTTGTTTTTAAAAATCTAGTTATGTTTTTTTAAGCTCCTTTTTTTATTGTTGTTAACTACCAGTCATAAGAAAATAGCCAACATCAAAGCCCTCTGTTCACTGTCCACTCAAAACTGTGAATGTGTAAATGTACAACAGGCTTATGCTAATTTCATATTCTTCTTCAAAGCACGAAAGCTCAATTATTTTCTTTCAAAGGTGTTTTTAAAACAAAGACCTTTTTGCATTGAATATACAGCTGGGAAGTAGCTCAGCACATGGCAAATGAAATAGTAAAAGGGAAGGATCTTTTATTGTTATATCTGCAAAACAGTGTAAATATAGATACACATACCACAAAAATATGCTGCCATAGCTACTGCTACTAGCTTTGCATTAAGCTAAAGTAGTGG